AGCAAAAACATTATTTCTTTCCAAAGGCCCTAACTTATAATCCTCTTTTACAGCACATAAAACCAGATTCTGAAAATCACAAGGGTCCACACATTACGAAGAGGGTCTTTTCTCTCTGTTTATGTCATCTTTTGAGTGCACTTACAGATTCCCATCTTAAATTCACTGCTGGCTTTTCAACCTCTATTGTTGCTTCAGTTTGCTCTTCCATTTCCTAGTTGCTTACGTGTTTCTTCATTTTATTTATAGCTCTATTTTTTCCCGCACTGTTGGAATGATTTCCAGTTGCACAATTCACGCTTTCAAATAGTTGAAAAAAAAATCTCATTTTCTATAAAAGTAGCTAACCTCAAAGCGATTCATTTCATTGTCCAAGCCTTTTTATGATTAAAAGACCTTTTCATATTATTCATGAGTCTAAACTGATTCATCCATATAATTGAGATTTTAAGCTTTTAGGTTAAGGACTACAATTTCCCAGTGACATTTCAGTGCTAGGTGGAAAGTCTGGGCTGAAATTGATGCTCTTTCTTAAAAAGAAATGTTAGCACTTACTTCACCTTTTAACTTAGGCTACACAACTAAAGAAACAGGTTTATATTCTTTAAGGTGGGAAGGACCTTAATAACTGCCTCAAGTGACAAATTGTAATACGAAGTCGATTTTTGTACTAATGGATTGCTGCTTAATAAAATCACACATTTATATAGATGAATACAGGGAAACCATTATGCGTGAGTATACTAAGTTTCAAAACTTTCTTGTTTCATCCATTCTCAAAGTAAGATATGCTCATTAGGGAAAACAACAGAAAAAAAGGGAGAAAAAAAAATTGACCATACTCCCACTAACCAAAACAATATCAATGTTAACACTTGGTGAAATGATTTTCTTTATTCATTTATCTAAATGGAATTTGGGGTTTTGTTTTATTCCTTTTTCCTTTTTGTTTTTATGTAATTGTGATCATTCTGTATATGGAACTGCTATATATAAACATTCATAACATATAATGAAAGTACCTTGCTTACTTAATATTATGGCATGAACATTTCTCTTATTATAAATTTTTACAAAGTATATCTCATTGAGTGGTGATTCTTGACCTTATTTAACGATTTTATTTTACGGTATGTTAAAATGGTTACCAATTTTTACTATCACATTAAGCTAGAAAAGACTATCCCTAAACAGAAAGCTTTTTTATTTGGTCTTAGTTTCTTGGGGTAAATTTTCAGGAATAGAGTTATTAGTTCAAAGGGAAGAAATATTTGCAGGTTTTTGCTACACATTATCAAGGTTTTTCCAAAAGACGTGCAATAATTGGCACTCCCCTCTACAAGGTACCCTTAAGTTATTAGCAGTAAGTAGTCTCATTAAAAACAACTTATGTTTGTGAATTTGCTGGGAAGAAACACCATTTTCTTCTTAATTTGCAAATCTTTGATCACCACGGTGTTGAAAATGTTTCCAAATTTTCATTTATTAGTTATTGCTCATCTTTTATGATTTTCTAGCAATGATTTCTGCACATTATCTATCATGATTTTAAAGTTTCCATTAGTAACACTTTTACACTGTTGGTGGGACTGTAAACAATCCAACTATTGTGGAAGACAGTGTGACGATTCCTCAAGGATCTAGAACTAGAAATACCATTTGACCTAGCCATCCCATTACTGGGTATATACTCAAAGGGTTATAAATCATGCTGCCATAAAGACACATGCACATGTATGTTTATTGCAGCACTATTCACAATAGCAAAGACTTGGAACCAACCCAAATGGCCATCAATGATAGACTGGATTAAGAAAATATGGTACATATACACCATGGAATACTATGCAGCCATAAAAAAGGATGAGTTCATGTCCTTTGTAGGGACATGCATGAAGCTGGAAACCATCATTCTGAGAAAACTATCACAAGGACAGAAAACCAAACACCGCATGTTCTCACTCATAGGTGGGAACTGAACAATGAGAACACTTGGACACAGGATGGGGAATAGCACACACCAGGGCCTGTCGTGGGGTGGGGGTAGAGGGAAGGGATAGCATTAGGAGATACACCTAATGTAAATTATGAGTTAATGGGTGCAGTACACCAACATGGCACATGTACACATATGTAACAAACTTGCACGTTGTGCACAGGTACCCTAGAACTTAAAGTATAATTAATTAATTAATTAATGTTTCCATTATTGATTTCTGTGGTTTCTCACAAGGAAGAAAATGAACGTGATTCACAATTGATTCAAAAAATGTCCAAAGTATTTGCCCTTGGATTTTTTTATAGGCATAAGTTTTTGTTTTTATAGTATTAACATCTATCTCTGCCCTTACAGTTTTACCATTATTTTTAAGTTAGTAAACCTTCCCCCAAACAGAGATTTGACAGTTTTCTTCCAAACTTTTAAAAGTATATGATTTTTTCAAGTCTCTTTTATTCTTGTAGATTTTTGGGGGGTGGATGGTAAGAGGTAAGAATCCAAAGATATCTCTTTTTATAAATAGATAACCAGTTGTCCCAACACTACTTATTAAATACTACTTTCTTTAACCATTAGTTTGTGGTGCCTCCTTTACCATATATTGCAGCTTACCTATCATAGAGTTCATCTGAGCTTCCTGGTTCTAGTGATTAACCTAATGTCAAGCCCACACTGCTTAAGATATCCAAGCTTCATAATACTTCTTAATATATGGTACAATTCTCCACCACTCATTAATATTCTATTTTAAGAAAAAAAAGAATTTTTAATTTTTTTTTTTACAAAGTTTCTCTCAAAAGAATCCCATCTGGACTCTGAATTATAATATAAAAATGATAAATTAATTTGAAAAAAGATAATTTTTTACTGTTTAACCATACCACCTGATAAAATGTACAACCTTTGCTACAGTTTTACTTTAGGGCATTAGGTAATCTCTTACAGTTTTTTTAAAAAAAATTTAAATTATTTTTTATTCAGTTTATTTTATTTATTTATTTATTTATTTATTTATTTATTTAGAGACAGTTTCCTTCTGTCACCCAGGCTGGAATGCAATGGTGCACACTGTCACCTCATTGCAACCTCTGCCTCCCAGGCTCATGTGATCTTCGTGCCTCAGCCTCCAAAGTAGCTGGGATTACAGGCATGAGCCACCACGCCCAGCTAATTTTTGTATTTTTAGTAGAAATGGGGTTTCGTTATGTTGGCCAGGCTGGTCTCAAACTCTTGGCCTCAAGTGATCCGTCCGCATCGGCCTCCCAGAGTGCTGGGGTTACAGGCATGAGCCACCGCACCTGGCCTATTCAGGTCATTTCTACTAACTGCAGATTGGTGCTATTTATGCACATGGACATTCTATTTTATTATACTATGTAACCTAAGTACTTATAGTGTTATGAAGAAAAGCTAATCAAGTACTTTTATGTTTAACTTATATTTAGCCTCATTATTTACCCTTTTATAAAATTTAATATTTTTTATTTGTGTTTAAACTTCTAATAATATATTATAATCCATATATAATATATAAACATACCAATTAAATACATTAATATAAAATAATCCCAATATATTTAAAATTTTCAATTCTATCACTTACTTCCTCCCTTCACGTCTTTAGAACCGCTTAAATATGTATAATATTTCGCTGTCTTGACTGGACATTCCAGATTGATAGTCAGATAATCCTGAGGTTACAAGTTAATTGATTTAATGAGAATTAAATTTTTAGGTGTTCTTGAAAAACTAGTTCTTTTAAATAAAATCAATGATGAGTTTCCATAAGATGTGAAGTATTCTGGTGTAAAATAAAAGATTCTTTTGTAATTCACAAGCTCCATATTTAAAGAATGCTTAAAATGAAACCCATTTGCGATGTTACATGTAAAATGCCATGTATTGGAACCACGAATGAATTCCCAAAATCTAAAGTACAGTTACAAAGACTTCCTTGAGCACTTGCGCTGAATCTAACAGACTGACACGCTTACTATGTGTTAGATGATAAAAATATGCAGTGGATAGGAGCCTGTGAAAAAATAATCTGGCTAATTTATTAGGAATTGTAACATACACAAAATTACCATGGGTGATACCATGTCAAAATTAATTTTAGTAATCTTGACATAAAACCAAATTTGTTCAAAAAAGTAAGAGAAAATATTCTGGCAACCCCACGGTATCGGCCAAAAATAAAGAAAAAAAAAGTTAGTGGTGGGGAGACATGTTGAGATGCTCTAGAAAGCCGGTATGTGTGGTAAATTTGCATTGCTGCCAAAGGCTACCACTAGAAAACAATTGTAAAGATACAAAAAGTCACAGAAGGGAATTATCTAGCCAGAGAGAAGAATGTGGGGAATACAGACTTAATAAAAGGTCTTTGGTGGGATCCAAGAAATGATTTGTAGCAGGATGTTAAAATGTGACCCTTCCTGCCTCATATTTTCACCTGAGACCCTAAATTCCCTCCCAAGGACCCTTCGTGTGGCTAAAACCAGTTCTAACAGCCTTTGCCAGTCACCTGCCCCCATTAGAACCTGCTCGGAAAAGCTTTTAAAAAAAGATGAAAAGAACATCATTGAGCAGAAAGCTTTCCTATTATTTGGGCTTAGTTCCTTAGGACTGATTCTCAGGAATGAAATTATTTGTTCAAAGTGAAGAATTATTTGAAAAGAAATCCTTATGAGGAGTGTGAAAGGAAAATAAGTCTCGGGACCCCAAAATCACTAAAGCCAAAGGGAAAAGTCAAGCTGGGAACTGCTTAGGGCAAACTTTCTTCCCATTCTATTCCTAAGAAAGATAGCTACTAGGATAAATTCAAAGTCATCCCTCCACTCACTAAGATAAATGCATATCTGATTGCCTCCTTAGGAAAAACTAATCAGAAACTCAAAAGAATGCAACCATTTGTCACTTATATACTTATGACCTGGAAGCTCCCTCCCCACTTCGCATTGTCCTGCCTTTCCAAACCAAACCAATGTACATCTTACAGATATTGACTGATGTCCCATGTCTCCCTAAAATGTATAAAACCAACTGCGTCCCAACCACTTTGGGCATATGTCATCAGGACCTCCTGAGGTTGGGTTGCAGGCGCATCCTTAACCTTAGCAAAATAAATTTTCTCAATTGATTGAGACCTGTCTCAGATATTTGGGGTTCACAAGAGGCTGAAGAGATTGAAGTTGAAGAATGTGTCTGGTATTCTGTGTTGTGGCACTTCTCTTCCTCACCTGTAGTGAAGAGAAGATGGCTTTAAGGGAACCAGGCGGAGGACGTGTCCCGTCAACTTCCAGGATGGTACCAGCCTCACTCTTAGAAAGTCCAGCGGCAGCCTGCCTGAGACACAGCCAAACGGCAGGATTTATTGCTGTCAGATGTATGTCTACAGTTGAAGAGGACAAAAGTGAATAAAGAGGCTAGATGTAGACAGCCAGATCCAGGGATCTGAGGGGAAACAGAAAACAGCCAGCTGGAAGAGGAAGCTCCTTGCCAGAAAACTGGAATTGGAGATCTTCAGGGAGGACTCTCCAAGGAAGCCATAATAGTGTACCATAAGAGAAAGAGGCAGCTAGGGACATCTGCCATCCCCAGCCCCACCAAGTCTAGCAGAGAAATAAGGCCTTCTCTCCCACTCACCAATACCTTGCACCACTACAGTCTTTAACCCCGGAGAAACAGGAAGCAGCATGGGCAGGGGTGTGGGAGGAGTAAAAGAGCAAGACAAAAAAACAGAGATGAAAGGCAGTCCCCATGTTCTGCCCCATAATAATGTGCCTTGTGCCTGGAACCCTTCCTTGCCAAGTTCCAGGCTCTGTGTGGACCCCTTTGTTAGTCTTAAGCATGTGTGTCAATGGCCCTCAAGCATACCCCCAGCTTTCAGTATTTCAGGCCCCACAGGGGAAGGGTCAGCGTCATCCTACTGCAGTACAAGACGGGTATGTGAAGACCTCTTGCCCTGCATTAGCTGCCAGAGGGGTCCACTAGCCATGCAAGACTTGTGCACCTTGTTGGAGCTGATTTCACCCTGTCTCCTCTATGTGAGTAAAAGCGTTGCTCCAGCCAGTGCTTGACACTATTGCATTTTCCTTGGCGACTCCAATACTAAGATATGGTAGGCAGAAGTGTTTGGATTTCTATTACAGGTGGCTGGCATTATGATGACCTTGTCTATCCTCTAGATAGTTGGAATCTTCCCCTGGCATTGGTAACTGGTACATGTTGTTCTGCTCAACAGTAAGTTGACAGATGAGGTCAAGTACAAACTGAATAGAGAAGTTTTAACTTGAATAAGCAATTGTATTAGATTTTAGTAAATATTTTAAGACTAAAAATCACCAGAAGAACTGTGAGATCAGCCTGGTGTGTTTTCCAGGGATGGTGGGGGTGCGGGGGGAATGACAAAATGCAAAAATTAAGAACAAATTAAGTTGCTTTCTCCATTCCATAAATGAGTTAGAGGACTGATTAAGGGGGTGGTAGAGCCAGCTAGTGAGAGTCAGTTACGTTCATTCCTTTCCAATTCTGAGTTCCATGGCATCACATTGGGGGTTTGAAATTGACCATAGTGGTAGTATTTACACCATAGAAATTGGCAAATGCTACAAATCAGGTTTTTCTTCTTCCTCTAAGAGTAAGTTGTTAAACATTTACCAGCACATCACCAGAAAGAAACTTTCATCTAAAATTCAGGTGGCCTGTAGAAAACTTTTAACCAGAACCAAGGACTGGAACTAGGAACTTAGGCAGGAAATAGGGTCTGGAGGCAGGGAATCTAAGGACTTCCTAGAACTAAATTAAATGGAAAAACCCCAACCCAGCCTTCTAAGTCCAAGTAAATAACTTTGTGACTCTACTTCAGCTATGACAGGAAACATCCTCTTCATCTGCATAGGGTGTACACCAAGTAAATAACTTTGTAACTTCACTTTAGCCTTTTCATCTGCATAGGATGGTACACCAAGTAACCAATGGAAGCCTCTAGAGGGTATTTAAACTCTAGAAAATTCGGTAACCAGGACCTTGAGCCGCTTGCTCAGCCCACTCCTACCTTGCGGAGTATGCTTCTGATTTCAATAAATCTCTGCTTTTGTTGCTTCATTCTTTCTTTGCTTTGTTTGTGCATTTTGTCCAATTCTTTGTTCAAGACACCAGGAACCTGGACATCCTCCACTGGTAGCAGAACTAGCAAATAAAATTGGCATCCCCAAGGATCAAGGCTGAGAGAGGAAATAACAACCTAAAAAATTAATCCAAGGATGATCACATCATAAAGGCCACTTCACCTTTGAACATGCCATTTAGACTAAGGTCAATTAAAAAATTAGCCTAAAATTTAGTAAAGGGGTGCTAGAAAAATAAAAAACAGGAAGGCAAGACCAGCATAGTCCAGGGACAACAGGACCAGACCTACTGGACCTTAGGCTGACTTCTGAGCATCCCCAGCAAGTGCCCAACATAGGCAGGACTGGATGGAAAAAAAAGAAAACACTAACAAAACAAGTAGGGAACAGCCATGGAAGGAATCTAGAAAGGAGGCTACCAGAATGTATATGTAGCCTTGTTTACAATTCAGAGAATTCTAGAGACAATCACAATATTAGTCTGTTTCCACACTGCTGATAAAGACATACCCAAGACTGGCTCATTTATAAAGAAAAAGAGGTATAAGGGACTCACAGTTCCAAATGGCTGGGGAGGCCTAACAATCATAGTGGAATGTGAAAGGCACATCTTACATGGTGGCAGACAAGAGAGAATGAAAACCAAGTGAAAGGGATTTCCCCTTTTAAAACATTAACATCTCGTGAGACTTATTCACTACTTCAAGAACAGCATGGGGGAGATCACTCCTATGATTCAATTAACTCCAATCAAGTCCCTCCCATGACATGTGGGAATTATGGGAGCTACAATTCAAGATGAGATTTGGGTGGAGACACAGCCAAACCATATCAATTACTTGAGTATATTTTGAGATTCATTCTCTGAGATCTGTTAATTTTGTCAATCTACATATGTTTTCCCACAGTTCTTAGCAATATAAATAAATAACAATGAAAGAGAGTTGTTAGGCATGCCTCAAATACAGCAGGGAAGGAGGAAGCCAAGAAAAATATATACATAAGAGGAATGCGAGGAGGTAGCTGGGCAGAGGAATGTAAACAACTGCAACTGGAAAAGAAACATGCAGGAGCAAATATCTGAGGGATTGGCAAACTAGTTCTCCGGCAGATTAGCTGGCAGGAAAGTTCAAGGCCCTTATCATTTCTCTGAAGTTTGGGATCAGTATCATTCACAGAAATGATTTTTCTTAGAAAATAGACACTCCCACATCAGGCATCTCATTAACTTGTGGATTTCCTACAGATTCTTTTCTGTGCTCTTATGGCAATTTTTAAGCCTCTGAACTTTATCTTATTGTTAGTCATGATTTGATGTGGAATTATAAGCCCCATTAAAATGATTTAAATCTCTTAGAAAACACCAACAGCTGCAGTTCTCTCTGTGATATGACCACTTGAAGATAACAACCATAATTGTCCAGAGTAACTAAACAATCCCTCGCTTGTGGATAAATAAGTCTTGGTATAATCGATCTTTCAGGGATGCTAATCATTCTGTCAGAATCATTGTTGGTTTTGTATTTCCCCAGCAATGATGAACCATCTAACTTAGATCTTATTTCCCATAGATGTCATATCATCTATGGGATATAGATGGAAGATCATAAAACCTCAGTGCTAAAAGATGATCTAATTTAATCTGTCAATTGCATAACTAACCCAACACTCAGAAGAGAAATTAAGTGACTTATTCAAGATCATACGGTTCAGTAGAATTCCATTGACCTAGGGCATCAATTAAATGCTTAACACTTGGTTAATTCAAAAAGTGATAAAATTCAGAGATGTCATATGTTAAACTATATGCATGCTATTTTTCTATTCCCACATTAGTGTAATGCCTCTTTGTAATGACCAAAATAAGTTTATTGAGGCACAGATAGGTAGTTGCATGTTTATGGATTTACAGTGTAACAGAAAGGACCCATGGCTGTTAAAATCCCTAGTCATGTGCCCCATGCCTGGAAGCCCACAAGGAGCTATTCATTTCTGTCTATTTTTCATACTTCTGAGTGATACATATTAAAACCGCCAAGATTGCCTGCTACTGGGAAACTCACACAACTTTCTTGAGCATTGGTTTTAATATTATTTTTTACAATATTGGAAAATAGACCTTTAAGCTACCCCCCAGTTACAAATGCAATGGGAATGATGCTCAGATAGGCAAAAATAACAACAGTAACTATTCATCCATTCTAGGATGCCCAGATGCCCATCAAAGGCCATCACAAACAGCCAAACAATCAGTTCTCTTTTCCAGGAAATGGAGCAAGGTATCTGCAACCCATCCTTCTTCTACAGGAAAGAAGGACAGCTGAACTTGGAGGAACTTGATTTTTTATATATATATATATATATATTTTTTTTTTTTTTTTTTTGAGGCGGAGTCTCTCTGTTGCCCAGGCTGGAGTGTAGTGGCATGATCTCAGCTCACTGCAACCTCCACTTCCCAGGTTCAAGAGATTCTCCTGCCTCAGTCTCCTGAGTAGCTAGGATTACTGACACCTGCCACCATGCCTGGCTAATTTTTCTATTTTTAATAGAGACAGGATTTCACCATGTTGGTCAGGCTGATCTTGAACTCCTGACCTCAGGTGATCTGCCCAACTTGGCCAAAGCGCTGGGATTACAGTGATATTATATTCTAGGATTTACCACTGAGTGAATTCCACAGTCAGCGTCAACATGGTTATCAGAGTATCCATCAGAAATCAGAGAACTGGAAACAGATTTCCCAGAGTATTATTCCTAGGAGAGGTAAATTTTAAAAGAATAAGGTTGGCAGGGAAAGAATCCATGGTAGACCAAAAACCAGAGAGGTAAGATTTGGAGAGAAAACTTTGGATATCCATAGGGCATCAAAATGGTGTTAGCAGGTGATAATAAAAGGGACCACAAAGGGAAAGACTTTGAAAGAGGAGCTAAGGCAGTGCTACTTTTCCATTCCTCTAACTGCTGGACTATTTTCTTTCATGTGTGCTATAATTTGAGGTTTTCATGTGGACTCCACCCCTTCTCAGGTAGTTTTCATCTGAAAGGTGTACTTTATGTAAGTGGCGTTTCTCCTGTCCTTCAATAATAGCATTTATCTGTTAACCACTCAGCTCCATGGTAGGCTCTCAGGGTGGGCTCTCATCGAACACACAATTATCCACTCCAGCTGCCATGGATGCGGCATTAATTTCTGACTCTCTGAGATGAAAATTAGATTGTGTTCCAAGTTCTTAGGAGTGTAACACTGAGTCTCAATCAATTTAGAGGTTTATTTTGTCAAAGTTAAGGATGCGTCCAGGAAAGAGAGACACCAGTCCCAGGAGGATCTGTGGCCCATACTTTTTCCAAAGAGGACTTTGAGAGCTTCAATATTTAAAGGGAAAAAGTGGGCAGTGGGAAAAGGGGAAAGAAAAAAGAAAGAGGGAGGATACGGTCACATTCTTGTGATGCTTTGATTAGGCTCACTGAATCCTCATATGAAAGGAGGGATTAGAGGGAATAGTCAATTATGTATTCATCTCACATTCAGTAAATCTGCACTTTACATAAGATAAAGTAAACATAGAATAGAGGAAAAAGTCAAATATGCACTCATCTCAGGGTGGACAGGAATGATTTCCAGTCTCTTCTTGTACCATACCGTGAAGATAAGCTGTTCACTTACATTGTCAGAGTGAGAGAGGCCCCCTGCAGAGACATGTGGCCTTCTACCCTATAACTATTTGTTTAGGAACACAAACAAAGGTAGTTTGTTGTTGTTGTTGTTTTTGTGTGTGTGTGTGTGCATTTGTTTGGCACGACTCAACTTCTCAACTTTTCCCTTTTGGCTTAGTGAATTGGGAGTCCTGAGATCTTATTTTCCTTGCATAGGAATTCACCTGATGTTGCTAAGTGACTAATTCCTTGGCAATCATGGAATTTTACATTAAGGCTGAATTTTTAATTAATAGCCCATGGAACCTCCCTGGGATTCATAGTCATTTTTACGATGTGCTAAAATTAACTGCGATCCACCTGTCCAACTCTCGCCATGTGCTCAGAGAGCAAAGGGCAGACGACTTTGCCATCCAAGCGCGCACATTCCTCAGCTGCCTGTCTGAGGCTTCATTACTGGCTGAGAGATAAAAGCTTTTGTCTTCAGCATCTCCCCTGCCAGGTTGGTGATAAATTTACTAGTGCAAATTACCATCCAGGACAATGCTGCAATTCCACTTTGCTAGAGACAGCTGATTTTCTTTTTAAAGGTGAACCAGCTCCTAGTTCCTGAAAACAACTTTTTCTCCTCACATTAAGTTTTCACACATTTGCAGAAACTATTATTAAGGGATTTTTTTTTTCTCACTCCTGAAGTCTATTACGAGGCAATTGCTGAATACAGAGCATATTCAGTTTCCAAAACTGAAAATAAGATTGGTGCTCGCTCCTGACCCTCAGAACCATTCTTTCACCCTTTCTGGCACCCTCCCTTTGAGTATAGTTCATACCCTCTGTAATGGCTTTTTTGATGTCAACCCGGCTAAGCTGTAGTCCCCAGGTATTCAAACACTAATCTAGGTGTTGCTTTGAAAGGATTTTGCAGATTTAAAGTCCCTGTTCAGTTGACTTTAATTAAGGAAGATTATCCTGGATAACCTGGGTGGGCCTGGCTTAATCAGTTGGAAAAGCAGGCCTGAGCCTTCCTTGAGAGAAGAATGAGTTTTACCCGCAGACAACAAGTTTGTCCTGTGTGGTGGAGGTCATTCCTCCCTACTGGTCCTACTTCTCTGGACAAATGCTAAGTGACACACCTTCATACTATACCATGCCTAAGCCCGCTGGGAACATCTTTCTGGTGACCCCTGCTTTGGACTTCCCTTTCTCTCTTCCTTCACTCAAATTTTCTTTGTATGCCACAGTGATTATATTCCTTGGTAAACAAAAAACTGGGACCTGTGACCTAACAACAGATATCTTTTATTGTTCTGTGAACATGTTTAAATGAACAACCTTATCAGAGTATAGATATTAAATTCTGTTCAATGATGTATATGATGGCCCAAATTTATTGAAAGGAATAAAATTACTTGAAATTGGTATACCCAGGATAATCTGGGGCA